AAAAAAAAAAAAAAAAATGAACCACTATTACTGCAGATTTACTATATATTTGATATTTAAAAATTCAACTGTCAAGGTAATTTGTTAAATTTTCTAATATGGCAGATGTGGGCTCATGGGATTGGCATCCAGGCCCAGTTAAATCATATACCAAACCCAAAGTGAGACAAGTCTAACCTCTCTGAGCCTGTTTGAAGTTATTTAAAATAATTATGATGACATTAGCTTTACTGGCATGACAGAATTTGGGGCAATATAAGTATAAATAAAGAATGTAAAATGACTGAGAACTATAAAAGATTATATTAATGTAAGTATAATGATTAATATAAGGTTATTGTTTTTGTCATTAACTCTTTCACATGTATACTTCTTATGTACCCCAAGGAAATTCTATGTTGCTGGTATATGCAAATTGTGCTAGTCATATAAGAGCTCTACAAATAGCTGTTTTTCAATTGACTAATTCATCTCACTTGAAAACACATTTTCACTTGGTATAATAATAGTTGGGATGTGTAAACGGGGAATTCTAACTGACCTCTCAGAATAATACCCAAGTATAAACCTGGTTTATTTATTTCAGTGAAAACTGATTGTTGAGTTATTTATGTTGAAACTTTCATGACAAATTTGGTTTTGTTTTAAGCTCCAACCATGGGGGAAAGCATTAATCTTTTTATGAACTTATGAGAAAAGTGGAAAACAGTTTTGTCTCTCCAGATACTTTCTAAGTCACCCTGATGAAGATTTGAAGCATGTACGAAAAACTGAAATATGTTCTGAGGTCACTTGAAGAAACAGGAACATCCTATCACAAAGAGAGAAATTAAATAATGTGTGTTTTACCCCCATCCAAACAAGTTTTACTGAAGTTTCAATACCAGTCGAAATATTTTATATCCCAACCAGAGGGGCATTTTCAAGATAGTGTTTGAGGAAAAGATAATTAATAAAATGAATGGGTTATTAAACAGAGCATTTAAACAATAATTTGGATGTCGCTTTCATATATTTTGTTTTTTTCTGACATCAATTTGATGGTTTTTGAATTATTTTGGATCTAGACCCCATTGAACCCCATTTCATTTTTTTCAAAATTAGCTATACAAAAGGGAATAATTTTAATATGGCTATTAGGCATCACATTCCATAAAGTGGCTGAGAAAGGACTCTTATGAAGAGGCCAAAGTTCAGTTCCCTGCATCTCGAAAAAAATGACATAGAAATTTCTCTAAGTAGATGGTCAACTGATTTCTTTAAAAATATCCAGATTCTGTCATTTAGAAGCTCATTACAAAATGAAGTCTTACTATCATAGGTCTAGAAGTACCTGATGTGAAATAACGAAATCACACTCTTAAGTGGAGTTTGCTTTTGAAAAAACTAGAGATGTTTTTGAGAAAGAATCTAGTGCATTCCAAATAACTCCAGGTCTAGGTTATATTTTTGGAGGTTTTGATGAAAGAAGGATGCACTCACTGTCTTATCTGGTTACTGAGCTGACAACTCCAATTGGCTTCAGGAAGTTCTACATTTTGTATTTATAATCTTCATTCTTCCTCATGAAGTTGAATCTCATTGAGCATATTTTAGGTTCCAAAAAATAACAAGAAGTAATGCCCTATGTAAAAACCCCTCAGCTCTTCTGAAGCAAAAGATGGTCATCTCTCAGTTTTCTCCGATGAAAATGATCCTAGGTTCCTTAGCCTTTCTTAAAGAGCTTAACTTGCAATCCTTTAAACATGCTTCACTTTCCTGTGGCTCCTCAGCAAAGGCCATGTAATCATCCCAAGTGGTGAGACCAAATACTAGACCTGTATTCTTCAGGGTCTGACCACATAGCTGAAACTTACCACGGTCAGTTCTACGTCCACGGCCTACAGTGATTTGCCTCTGCTCAAACTGCACCAACTTCAACACATCCCAATGACAACTCAACACACAGGCAATAAAACAAAGCCCTAAGATATGTTTTTGTTGCATGAGACAAGGTCAACTACAAAAAAAGTGTCTTAATTTTTTAAAGCTTACTGCAGATCTAAAATTTTAATTTTGGGAGATCAAGTTACTACTTAAAAATTCAGGATGCAGTGCATTTTAGAAATTTTTGATATGCCATACAAGCCTTGGTCGACTTTATGTAGTTGTTATAATTAGGCAAATGGTAGCATGACTTTACAGAGTTGTGAGTCTATATATGACATACCATGAGCATATTAAACCCATTCTTCCCATTAAGTTGCTGAAGACCCTTCTCATATATAAACCAAACAGGACATTTATTCTCAGAGAAATTAAACTATAAACCTGATTCAAATACATATAAAATCTTTAAGTGAGGGGGGCGAGGCTGTGTATAAAATAAAATGCAAGGTTAAAAGAAAAAATATTTATATTTTACACTGTAAAAAGACGTTTGCACTGACAATGATATTGTTAGAGATGAGATCGATGGATAAAACTAGTCCATATGATGAATGCAGTATTACTAACACACTTTTACCCTCAAGGCTTTTTCTGGCTTTAATTCAATGCAATCCATTATCTTGGGTGGTAATGGAGCCCTATATCCTCCTCACCTCAGGCCCCTTTGGTCTCCTGAGCGGCCTTGAATCTTAGGCATAATAAAAGGTCAAGCAGATACCAGGAAGCATCTGTAAACTACAATAGCTCCCCATTTCGGCTACAAACCACACATTCTGGCGCTAAGCTTTGCTCTCTCCTGTTCCATGTCATTGTATAAGCAGGCTAATTTGGAAACGGCTAGGGCACTTGGGAACACCTAGATTTTTTTCAAAACAATCCTACTTTCTGGCTTGACCACCTAAAGAAGTAAATCCATAAGACCACCTTTGAGAGAACTCTAAAATGGTGCCGGGATACTGAGGGAACGAACAGCAAATACCAGCACTATGAAATAAAATGAATGCATCGCACCGTCCAGCTCGTCTTTGCTTTCTGGGACACAAGGCACACGCATGAAAGGACTGGGGTAGAATTTCAAGAAAACTGATTTGTTTCAACATCCATTTGGCAAGATGCAGGACACAAAATAATACCACAAGCCACCTCCCTTTCCCATCATTGTCAAGTCAGGGCTCTCAGATCACCCCCCACAAACCTAATTAAAAATAAAGAAAAGAGGCAGGCTATGAATTCACATCTAGGACTATGATACAGATTAAATGATAGGCATCTGTCCTAATTGGCCACAAGGAAACTAAAGGACAATAACAAGAATAAATCTCACAATAATCCAAATGAAGCCAATGAATAATATTACAAACCAGAAGCATAGTTTCGAAAATATGCAATTACCTCCAAGCATGCAAGGGCATTTATAACCCATAAAAATGATCGCAAAGAATGCCCTGCATATAAATGTGTTTCATAAATGCTAGCTGACATATGTATATAGGATAGGCATATCCATAGGGTATACATTTGTATATGCACAATCAAATCTATGCACTAAAAATGAAACTGTAGCTGGCAAATGGTTTCTCAACAAGAGTACATTAGAATATGAAATAGAACGCTAAATTCTGGAGGCACCTTTTCTAAGCAACGAAGGCAATAACCAACATAGCCTTACAATTAGGCTGGCTGGGAAGCTTATGAGGCACGGAATGGGTTTTTGAGGAAGGCCCAGCCCTATATGTGAGAGCTGCAAATGAAATGATTCCTTTCAATAACACCCATTTCTTGTTAGCTCTTTTTCCACCCCCTGATTCGGTTGCTAAGCTCGGAAGGAAAGGAACCAAGTGGATCAGTCTGCATTAGGTTCAAGATAAAACCAGAACACCATTTTTTTTTTTTTAACACAAGCAGATGCCTTCTTACTTCTCCCTGGCAACCTCCCTCTCTCTCCATCCCCATCTCTGTCTCCACATCTTCCTCTCCTACTCTGAGGGAGTCATTGTTCAAGTGCAGGCCACAAACGTATACCTAGGTCATTTAATAGCAAGCTAAACCAAGAAGATAGCTCCACTGTCTCCGACTTACCATGCTGAGACCCGGAGAAGCTGTTGAAAGGAGGGAGAGATGCAAACTGAATCCATTTTCCTTGTGACCGAGTCGGATGCAGCCTCCGAACCCAACATCAGCAGCGGCTGCTGGGATTTTTTTCCTCCCCTCGTCTCCGGTTGGCGATGGTGCGAATAGGAACCACCCTTCCAGCCCCACTAGAGTATCAGCAGTCGAGACGGTAGAAGCAGCAGCATCACCACTTGGCGGCCTCCTCCCTCTCGGAGGATGGGGTGAGCTCAGAAACAGCCAGGAACTTGCAGCAGACACCTCCTCTGGCTCCTCCTCTCCTGCCCCCTCCCCCAGAGCCCCACCCCTGCTGCGGTAGAGGCTGCCTGCCCTGGCAGCTGCTGGTTGTCATGGTAATGACCAATGATAAGCGACCTGGCTAAGGGGGAGGGGAGATGGGTGAAGGAGCTTTGGGGACTGGAGGTGAGTGCATTTGTGCTGCTGGCCTCTGGGATGCGCTTGGTCACTCCGAAACCGGACTTCGGGACTTTAAAAATGCGTCAAGGCTGTATAGGCATGGGAGGAGAATGCTTTAAATTTAATCGGAATCTAGACTGAAACATACAAAATAATAGCTCAACCATCTGTGCATTTTCTATGGTTTCCCCAATAAAACATAAATTTGCAGTCAGAAAAATAGAACAAATATGGACAAAATGATGTCGTGTAATAGTAGGTTATTATCACTCCAAATATGTTTGTCCTTTATAACATCTTTTACTCAATGCCACTCAAGGTTGTTAAAAAGCAAAGCGAGTGCCGGGACTTTGCAATGAAGCAGAGTCTGATTGATTCCTCAGCACTACTTCCTCTCTCCCTTGTTCTCTCCAGGTGAGTCTTGTTCTCACTGTTTTTCCAGCTCCCCTCCGAAGAGGACCCGGAGTGATTTACGTAGCACTCCTCTGTGGAAACGGAAGTTAGAACCAAGGAAACAGAAATTCCTTGAGCAATCACGGTTCTCAGTAGCACAAGTTGGTGATGAGTTCCAAACCTTTTTAGTGTCAAACTCCTGGAGTGTTCAATTTCCTGCAGGAAATTCGGTGCCATTTTCATGGATGCTCTTTTGGAGGTCCCAAGGCAGCTGGTAACCAGGGAGGTAGATAGGAAAAACCGAAGTGAAATCAACAGTGTTGAGTTCCAGGTGAGTTCTGTTTCTAACTATAAATTATATTGTAGATGACACTAGTATTTATCTCATGCAGTAGTTGTATAGGTTGAATGAGACAATGCACTAAAAGCACTTTTCATGTAGCAAGTGTACAATAATGATTACTATTAGTAGCAGTAGTAGTAGGCATAGTACATTATAGCCACTTCTTAATCCAGGAATAGCACAGCAATTTCAGATATGGGAAAAATTAAGGTGAGAAAACACTTAATATGTGATGGTGGTGGCGACGATGATGATGATGATAATGACAAAGACAGGGAGGCCCTGAGAGATTAAAATTTCTCTAAAGTGTAACAATGGAGGAGGTTGTAAGTCTTAAAGGAGTTAAATTTCCCAAATAATTCACACAGCTAATAAAATGGCAGAGGCAGAATTAAAACTGACCCTTCTCACACTAGCATCTGTTCTCCTAACCATTACATTTTTCTGCCACTCCTCCGTGGAATGAAGATACTCTTTGCTCTTAACCCATAGAGTTATTCGTAGGTTCAAGTGGGATTCATTCAAGTTTCAGAGTCAGACAGCCTGGGCTTGATTTACTATAGATATAATTTGGGACACACTAATTAACTTCTCTGAACCTATGCTTCCTCACCTGTTCAATGGAAATAATCACAGAACCTCACGAAGTCATTGTGAGAATGAAATAGGATGATGCATATGCTGCATTGGCACATCTAGTACATAGTAGGTGTTCAATAAATGTTCGCTATGATTACTTGTTACTCATTCTTAAATAATTAATATTCAAGTGTGAGAGAACTTTCTCCTGCATGGGGTTACTCTTGAGGCTAAGGCCTTATTCACACAAAACTGACTTGAAGGTATTTAAGTGGTTGAGGAAAGGGTTGCAACTTTTCCTCAGCACTTCGTATTGCATCCCTGGGGCCCCAGGCTCCCACCAGAGCCTGAACAATCACACAGTCTACACTCACTTCCACGTCAGCATCACTATCAGGTACTTTTGCCGTAAACATCTTTGCTGCAAGCATTTTTGTGGCATCACTAGTTGGCAGTAAGGCAATTTTGTCGTAAAAGATAGAGTAAGTTTTTTGGGACAGGGTGGTTCATTTCTCCATTGGCAAATCAACCTCTATAAAGAAGAAAAAATAACTAATTGACAGTTTGGGTTTTTTTGTTGTTGTTTGATTGGGTTTTCTTGTTAGTTTTTTTGGACATGTTTTTCGCAGTTACTCCTATTTTTATATCATATATAAATCTTACCTAGCCCTTATAACGGTCTATACAGTTATGAGTAGACTGGTGCTGGTGGTCTTAAAATAGTTAGCATCTCTTCCAGATGATGATGGTTTGCCCCAAGAGTTGTGGTTTCTTATTTTGAAACACACTAAATTGGGAGGAGAGAGGTGAGGACCCTTTGAAGGCACAAACCCACATTTCTTGTGGAAGGGAGATGCTTACTTAGGTACAATCCACAAATAAAATCAGTTATTTGCCTAGGATTGCCATGATGCTACAGACATTTTAATACGTCGTATTTTGCAAAAGTCTTCTTATTTTTGTTATTCTTTTTTTTTTCATGTTATGTGCCTTTTAACGTCCCTCGTTTATTTGTCTTTACGCCAAAACTGTTTTTTTTTTTGTTTTTACGGCAAAACTGCTTTACGGCCGATTAGTTATGTGGCGGAAATGTTTGGGGTGAAAGTGTTTACTGCGAAGGTACCTAGAACCATCCACATCATGTAAGTGTACTTATGTAACATACAGGAATGGGGTTGTGATGGTCTCGCTTCGTTTTGTATCTTTCTGTGTCATCTTCTACTGTCTCCACAGAGATGGTCCTATAAGTAAGCAGAGAAGAAAGCTGCAAGTGGCAGAAGCGCAGACATGTTTAGGCAACAGAACGCTCCCCACTGGCCTCGTGAAGGAGCATTTATTTCATCTTTAGCGGCCAGAGCTGACCTGGTTGGGGTGAGTGATTCTAGTTTTCTCTTCCCATCAACACAAACAGAATCAGCTGGGGGAGAGAAAAGTGGTGTTTCCTGTTTGAATAATTCCCCAGTTTAAACATTCAAATTCTACTCTCCCATTCTTTGCCACATCCATACAGCACTGTTATCATTTTTAACAGTATTTAATAATCGTTGAATAATTTCTTTAGATGTTTACTTTACTTATGTAGTATTTAATTTTATTTACTTTAATTATTTGTTACTTATTTGCTTGAAATTTGTCTCAGGCTTCAGCAGAACAATAATAAAAATAGGCATGGTAAAGGGAGTGTCCTAGAGAAAGGAATTTAAAGCAAAAATATCCTTTTTTGGTTGGTTTTTTTTTTGAGTAAAATAGAGACTTTAACTGTATTTGTAATAATTTTTAATTAAAAATAAAACTTTAAATGTCATTCCTTCTCTCCATTGCCACCCCTTTCTTACCATGCTTTATTTTTCCATAGTATTTATCATCTTATAATACACTATATTTATTTGTTCTTTAATACTTTTTGTAATCTGTTTCTCCCCACTAGAATGTAAGCTATGAAAGGGTGGGGATTTTTTAAAATTCATTTTTCAATTACAACTGACATACAATATTATATTAGTTTCAGGTGTACAACATAGTGATTAGACATTTCTCATATACCCTACAAAGTAATCACCCTTATAAGTCTAGTACCCATCTGACAACATACTTAGTTATTATAGCATTATTGACTATGCTATTACAATACTATGCCCTATGCTGTATTTTACATCCCCTTGGCTGTTTTTATAACTGGCAATTTGTACCTCTTTAATCCCTTTCCCTTTTTCACCTCTCCCCTCAAACCCCCTCCCATCTGGCAACCATCAGTTTGTTTTCTGTATCTATGCTATGAGTTTGTTTCTGTTTTGTTTGTTCATTTATTTTGTTTTTTGGAGTCCATATATGGGTGAAATATATGGTATTTGTCTTTCTCTGTCTTACTTATTTCACTTAGCATAATACCCTCTAGGTCCATCCATGTTGTCACAAATGGTAAGGTTTAATCTTTTAA